GCATCCCTGTTTTGCATGCTCGCTGAAACTCTGCTCAGGGACTAGGCATCGCGGAAGTGCCCTGCCCTGGTAGTTCGCTCCAGTCGAAGGATGCACCTTCCCTCTCGGCTCACCTCTGAGGTTATGATAGCCAGGCTATCCCTCTTAGAGGGTGGGCTCCATGGCATCTAGGCGGCTACCCCTACCTGAAAGCGGCCTACCACTTGCCTTCTCACTCGAGCCGAGAGCCTTGAGCCAATCCGACTCCGATTCCGACTCCGATTCCGATTCCGACTCCGACTCCGATTCGGATTCCGACTCCGATTCCGATTCCGATTCCGATTCCGACTCCGATTCCGATTCTGATTCCGACTCCGATTCCGATTCCGATTCCGACTCCGACTCCGATTCCGATTCCGATCGTTCCGATTCCGACTCCGATTCCGATTCCGATCGTTCCGATTCCGATTCCGATTCCGATTCCGATCGTTCCGATTCCGATTCCGATTCCGATTCCGATCGTTCCGATTCCGATTCCGATTCCGATTCCGATCGTTCCGATTCCGATTCCGATTCCTCCGATTCCGGTTCCGATTCCGGTTCCGATTCCTCCGATTCCGGTTCCGATTCCGATTCCGATTCCTCCGATTCCGATTCCGATTCCGATTCCTCCGATTCCGATTCCGATTCCGATTCCGATCGTTCCGATTCCGATTCCGATTCCGATCGTTCCGATTCCGATTCCGATTCCGATTCCGATCGTTCCGATTCCGATTCCGATTCCGATCGTTCCGATTCCGATTCCGATTCCGATCGTTCCGATTCCGATTCCGATTCCGATCGTTCCGATTCCGATTCCGATTCCGATCGTTCCGATTCCGATTCCGATTCCGATTTCCGATCCGATTCCGATTCCGATCGTTCCGATTCCGATTCCGATCGTTCCGATTCCGATTCCGATTCCGATCGTTCCGATTCCGATTCCGATTCCGATTCCGATTCCGATTCCGATTCCGATTCCGATTCCGATTCCGATCGTTCCGATTCCGATTCCGATTCCGATTCCGATCGTTCCGATTCCGATTCCGATTCCGATTCCGATTCCGATTCCGATTCCGATTCCGATTCCGATTCCGATCGTTCCGATTCCGATTCCGATTCCGACTCCGATCGTTCCGACTCCGATTCCGATTCCGATTCCGATCGTTCCGATTCCGATTCCGATTCCGATCGTTCCGATTCCGATTCCGACTCCGATTCCGATCGTCCCGATTCCGGTTCCGATTCCGATTCCGATCGTCCCGATTCCGGTTCCGATTCCGATTCCGATCGTCCCGATTCCGGTCGTTCCGATTCCGATTCCGATCGTCCCGATTCCGATCGTTCCGATTCCGATTCCGATTCCGATCGTCCCGATTCCGATCGTTCCGATTCCGATTCCGATCGTCCCGATTCCGATCGTTCCGATTCCGATTCCGATCGTCCCGATTCCGATCGTTCCGATTCCGATTCCGATCGTCCCGATTCGATGATTCCGATGATTCCGGTGATTCCGATGATTTTGATGATTCCGATGATTCCGATGATTCCGATGATTCCGATGATTCCGATGATTCCGATGATTCCGATGATTCCGATGACTCCGATGATTCCGATGATTCCGATGATTCCGATGATTCTGATGATTCCGATGATTCCGATGATTCCGATGATTCCGATGATTCCAATGATTCCGATGATTCCGATGATTCCGATGATTCCGATGATTCCGATGATTCCGATGATTCCGATGATTCCGATGATTCCGATGATTCCGACGATTCCGACGATTCCGATGATTCCGATGATTCCGATGATTCCGATGATTCCGATGATTCCGATGATTCCGATGATTCCGATGATTCCAATGATTCCGATGATTCCGATGACTCCGATGATTCCGATGATTCCGATGATTCCGATGATTCCGATGATTCCGATGATTCCGATGATTCCGACGATTCCGACGATTCCGATGATTCCTATTCCTCCGACTCCGATTCCGACTCCGACTCCGACTCCGACTCCGACCCCGATCCCGACCCCGACCCCGACCCCGACCCCGACCCCGACTCCGACTCCGACTCCGACTCCGACTCCGACTGCGACTGCGACTGCGACTGCGACTGCGACTACGACTACGACTACGACTACGACTACGATTACGATTACGATTACGATTACGGAGGATGGGCCCCCCCCCTTTGGGCAAAGGGGGGCTTAAGCCCCCCTTTCAGCCCCCCTTAAGCCCCCCTTCAAAGGGGTCCCTGCAAAGGGGGTCCCTTCGGGGGGGGGGGCAAAGGCTCAAAGCCCTGCCCCCCCTTAAGCCCCCCTAAGCTCCCCCCTTAAGCCCCCCCTTAAGCCCCCCCTTCAGCCCCCCCTTAAGCCCCCCCTTAAGCCCCCCCTTAAGCCCCCCCTTAAGCCCCTTCCTTAAGCCCCCTTAAGCCCCCCCTTAAGCCCCCCCTCAAAGGCCCCTTGAACCCCCCCGTTTAAGCTCCCCTTTAAGCTCCCCTTAAAGCCTCCCTTTAAATGAGCCCTTCAAGCTCCCCTTTAAGCCTCCCTGTTTCAGCTCCCTTTCAAGCCCCCCTAGAGCCCCCTTTCAAAGCCCCCTAGAGCCCCCCCGGAAAGCCTCCCTTTCAGCCTCTCTTTTTCGCCCCCTTAAAGCCCCTAAAGCTCCCCCTGAAGCCGCGACCAATCTCCCCTCTGTGGAGGGTTTAGACAGCAGTTTAAGAGGCCTAATACTTGCCTTGCTGGGCCTTTGGGCAGCAATTTAAGGCGTAATACTTGCTGGACCTTTTGCGGAGGGTTTAGGCAGTTGGCCTAATACTTGCTGGACCTTTTTTGGAGGGTTTGGGCATTGCGCAGCAGTTTAAAAGGCATCATACTTGCTGGACCTTCTGCAAAGAATTCAGGCGGAAATACATTACTGGGCCTTTTGGAGGGTTCGGGCAGCATTTTAAGACGTCTAAGAGCAACTTTGCAAGCTTAAACAAGCGGAGGGGAGAAACTTATCCTCTACCAAAGGTCTAGCAGGTATGAAGCCATTTTTTTAAGTGCAAGATTTTGCGGAAAACCATATTTTCTGAAAAAAAACAGAGTAAACCAGAATTTAAGAGTTATTTCTGGTTTATTTGCGTTATATTTTGTGGACAGACTGTTTCAGTGCACAACATGCAGAATCTAAACTTAAAATCATTACAAATGAAAATTGTGTTCTAATGATTGGTGCTGGTAGGTTTTTGCATTCTCCTTGTTAGGACCTTACGTAAGTCTTGCAAGAAGGCTAGCAGTCTTAAAGTCACAACTTCTTTACACTTTAGTTTGACTCTTAAAAACATTTGTCTCTGTTGCAATGGACTGCAAATGTGGTAAAGGTCAAAAGAAACCAATTCTAGCTTCGGCTTTTCCGCTGCACTTGAAGTTGCGGAACGTATCCGTGGGCAAACAGCATAGAAAGGCAAGAAAGAAGAAACTGGAGCCCAGTCTAATAAATCTGATGATGTGGTCAAAACGTTTCATTAAACTTGATTGCATTTATGGTTATTTTTTGTTTGAAAAATGTTGTTGGCACAGTGTTTGAAACAACAGAAGAAACCAAAAAGCTGAGCCCAATGTGGAGCTTCAAAGCCAATTTAGACAAAAAAATTAAACTTGTCGACGAACTATTCTCAAAGCATTTGTTGCAATGGACTTCCACTGTGCTGCTAATGTGGAAAGAAGCGTCCGCTTCAAAAAAAGAAACCAAGTCTTACCTCCGGCCCGCTGCAGATGGTTGCAGATCTGCCGCTTGGGTACGTTTCCACCTTGGGTCAAGCACTTTGGCGCACTCCAGTCCAGCTTTTCTGTCTGGCACATCCGATGATCGCCGGTTTTGTCCGATCTGCCAGTATGAAAAAGCGGCGTGCAGTGCTTTTCCCACATTTAAAGTCCAGCATCCGAACAGACAAGTTTTTTTGGGCCGATCGTCCAAGCTCCTACAATTTGCAGATGTTGTAAATGTTGTGAAAGGAGTGGGCCGAAGGTTTTGGTGTTACATTTCAGAAACCCGCAAGGAAATTGTTGTTCTTGCACTGTTGTTTTTGTGGCAGCATGTGAGGGGGAAGTGTTGGTTTGTAAGGTGGGCTATGTCGAATTGTTTTCGGTGAGGGTCTTTGAGTTTTGGGTGCTTTTGAATTCAATCACGTTATACGAGGTGGCAGGTTCTGGAGGGAGGGGGGGGGGTGAGTAGCATAGATGTAGATGATCACAGGGAGGGGGGGGGTGAGTAGCATAGATGTAGATGATCACATGCGTGCAATGAGTGTTGAGCGTCTTGGAGATGATCGGCAGTCATCATGCAGAAGCATAAATTTGTCATGCGCTTTTTACCTTCACGGCTCGATGGCGCCGATAGCCCGTTGTTTGAACACAGCGTACAGCAAAGAGTTAGCCACATGACCGCTGAATTCATTGTTCGTGCTGCCCGAAGAACAGCTTGAGGAGAACAACAGCATGGTCATGTGTGAGTGCAGTTTTGAAGAGCAAAGTTATTCCACGCAGGCCATATGCCCGTGCAACATTGATTAGAAGACTGGCTAAGCCATGAGCATGTTGCCGGAGATCTCTCCAGGTGGTGTTCGAGCATTGTGTTTGCAGCATGTTTTAGAGTGCGTCGTCAGTTGCATTTCCGCGTTTCAGGCTTCAGCACGTGTTTTTTTTGATGGTGTTGGTTCTTGGTGATCAGGGTTAGATGATTGTAGGGACCCAAGCTTCAAACATGACACACCATTGTGGATTTCCGATCGCAAGCCTTGAGGAATTAAAGTGTTTCAATGTTGCAAGACGTTTTCGCCAAACGTTTCGATTTTTGGCCGCCTTACCGTTGAAGGCGGGACGAGAGAGAAACCGAAGGCACAGATCCCGTTTGCATGGCGCGCTGATGTTTGCAAATGCCACGTGGCTTTGCTTAATGCCTTAAACCTCGTGGCCGGAAACTTGTTCAGGCGCAGTTCCTCAAAGAGACCTACGATGTCTCCTTTGATGGAGGTGTATTGATTCGGCATGTGAGGCCTCCGAACACGTGATGCTTTGCCAGGTGAGGCAAGACACCATTTGTGGAAGAAGGCCAGCGGATTGCAATGGCGCTTTTGTGTCCATGATGCTCTTTTGAAGGTGTTGCCACAAAATGGCAAAAGGCGTGGTGATGCCAAGGCTGGGTCTGCTGCAAATTAAGCAGTTTTTGAACATTTTTGAACCAAGTCCTTTCAAAGTCGTTTCCATGTGCTGTGAAGGTGCAAGAGTGGCTGCAGGCAGAGCACCAAGCCGCCCGGGGCCCTCGTGTTTTTCATGGTGCAAGGCTGTGGAGAAGGGTCTTGTGACCTAGGCTGAGGAACGCGCCGAAAAACGTTGGCGCCAAAAGTTCGAGGCCACACTGAAGCATCGACGTGGGGCTTTTTGACATTCGGTGACACTTGCGTCTGCAAAGCTACGCTCGGCAGGAATGGCAAATGGAGTGGCAAGCGGAGCAAGCGAACTTCCAGCCGGACAGCGAGCTTGGCAAGGCTGGACTGCAAGTACTTCTGAGTTTTGAGTACTGGACAGCGATTCGCAGAGCATTCGAACCGCCGCACGACTTTACCAGGAGCGAAGTGCTTCAAGCCCGGAGATTCGTTCTGAGATGCAAGAGCCATGGCCTTGTGTCCACAATAGTCTTGCTGCCGTGCTCCGGAGTGCCCCGCTGGTTCAGCACCCTGCCCATCAGGTCCACGCTGGAGGCCGGAGATGCCGCACTCTGTCGCATGGTTATCCGACTCTCCCACGTATGCAATCGTGTGCCAAGCGTCCTCGTTGGGGAGGACCTCAGAAGCCGGGCCGAAGCTGCGGAAAAAGAGTGCGAGGAGTTGCGCAGTGAATGCAAAGGCCGTGGCAGGAGCATTGAGAGCATCCAGTGATTCTAGTGGTTGGAGAGATCCTTGCCAGGCCAATTAGATGAGCTGGCAAGGCTTTATGAGGCCCAGCCTTTGCATGTTGTGTTTCTGAGATGAGATACTTGAGATCGCTTGGAAGTTCTCATGCAAGGTAGGCGGTTATGTAGATGCTTATTCCCGTGTTTGATGTGCAACGTTCGGATGTCGGTCAACGATTGCCATGCATGCCATACATTCCTGACGCGTGCCCGGCTTCGCAGGAGTTCCGGCGGGCACACAAGAAGGTGCAGGAGGACGGTACAGCCATGGTACTTGAGTATTCTTATCTGCTTCTCGCTGCCACGAATTTATGTTATGTTTTCGAGATGCCTTCTCAGTGAGATTGCGACTTGTGTTGCTACATATGGTAGTCTGTTCAACAGCGTTGTTGTGGCGATGGTTTTGTCTTCGGACATGCACGCTTTCAACCACTTCAAGCTTCAATGGTTGTGTGTTTGCCGATGAAGCGCAGGAAAAAGCTCGGCGAGAGACTATCGAGAAGTAGGAAGCCCAGTTCTCGTGGAGGTGGTGGTCACGAAAGCGGCCTGAAATCGGTTTTGTCTACCATGTCACTTTGGGTCCTAAATATGTCCGGGGCCTCAGTGGCTTAATGGTATGCTAGTTCAAGAGCTGGCCCGCCAGGCGGTCGGCCCTCCCTCCCCCTCCGTTTAGGTACCTGCCTCGTAGGGATGCAGGCTGTTAAAGGGTGCAATTCACTTGTGCAGTGGCAACCCTACGCTAAAACAGAGCATGTTCAAGCTCTTCCTTGAAGCTCTGCGCAAGTCACAACACCGTAGACGGCACACCCACTGAGCTGGCCCTAAACCTTAGCCTTGCAAACGCCTTGCCAGTTCCATCTGATGGCACACACACAACATAAATCCTGAGTCTCACACCGCAATAAGCCAATGTTCCTCCAAGCATCCTTTTCCAAACCCCCTGCAAGCATTGAACTTTGGACGGGGTGCGCAGCAGCTCCAATTTGACCAAGGCATCTGAGTTCTGCCGTCGAGGATGGGATATTGTGAAACTGGATGAAACTAGGCGAATTGATGACTTGACTGCAACGGAGCGGCTTGCAAGGAGCAAGACAAGTGGACAGCGAAGTTGGACCATCGCATTTCACAGCTGCACCAGGCATGCGTGAAAGCCGCTTCAAGCTGGGGTTTGCACTGCTGTCACTTTAGGCGCGGCAACAGCGGCGTGCCATCGGCGCAGGAGTCGCACGCTTTAGCCGCTCGATCCGTTGATGTCCGTTGATGCCCGTGGCTTTTCTGTTGCTGTTCTGTCGCTCTTCTGTTTCTCTTTGGCGTCCTAAACCCACTGAACCCCACTCAGGCAACAGGATACACACCCTGGATCTGAGGCGTGGTGCGCTCACGATGGGCATTTTTCTTCTTATTAGGCATTTGGTCATTTCTGTGCAGGGCGGCGGAGTGGCTAGCACAAGCTGCCAGCGACAAGAGCACGGATCCAAAACAGTGGGCCTTTACGTGGAAACTTCATCCCTTTAACAGTACCACTGCTTAGACACACCACAAGCCACCAGGTCGTGAAATCCCCGACTTGGTCGAGGAGTCTTGTGAGCCACAGGCATAAATGCCCCAAGCTCCACTATGAAGTGCCCTTGGGCCAGGAGCTCACAGCTGCCCGTGCCGCAGCTTCCGAGGCAGAACGCCAGGCAGGGGAGTCAGGGAAGTTGGAAGCAGAAGGTGTCGCAAAGGATATCGGCGGTCTGAAGGCTATCTTGACAGCAATCACATCACGGGGTTGTGTCTTAGCGCCGCGTTCTGTCGGCTTGCTGGATCATGATGTTTTGATGATGTTTTGATTCGCTATTTCTTTGGAATTCTTGGGATGTATTGGGTCAGCTCACTAATTCCACAGTCCGTTGAAATGGTTGCGCTTTGGCCACTGGCCGATAAGAGGTGGCCGATGCCGAGGCGGCATCGAAGGCCGGGGTTCTGAAGCGTCACTTCGGGAAAGGGGTTCAGGTTTCAAAATGAAAGGACGTCTTCGAAAAATCCGCCATTCCCCCCACCCCCGCCCCCCCCCCCCCCCCCCAATGGTGATCTCGATGCTCTCCTTAACAGCTGCAATCTCAATCTTCTTGTTGCACTTGGGTCTCCCGCGTACGGACTGCGGCCTTACTGTTGCACGCTTGCTGCTGGTATCTGCTTTTGCTTGCAAGGTTGGGATCTGGAACTTTTCGCGGATTGCACAGAGGGGAACAACCAGTCATGTCTCAGGAGGCACTGGGCTTCCTTGAAAGCCTGGAGGTTTCGAACATCGACCTGGTGCGGCACCCTGACAGGGTCATCTTGCTGCTGAGCCCAAGACTTCAATGACATCTCTAGACCTTTTGCACTAATCTACCAAAGTCTGGAAGCTTGGAAGTGGATGGAATTTTGGTACTCTGCCAAGGTGGACGGTACTTCCTTCGCAAGCGCGTACAAGGCTGGTCTTGTGTTGTGCTGAAGGTCACTGAGAGTTCATTCTTTGATGTAGCTTTGTCGTGCAGAACATGCGTGTTCGAAGTGGCATTCCGAGCAAGCTTGTACTCATTCACGAGGTGGCTGTTCGCTTGAAAGTGAGATACATCCGATTCCATGGTCACTGTGGCAAGAGCACCGAATCACTTCACTTTCCTCCTTGGATGACATCGCTCTCTCTGTGGAGCCGTGCGAACCTTTGAAACCCCTGTTCTCGTTTGGACTACCTCACCACAGAAGTTCGTCAGCGCTTGCGGGTGCTTTTCTCCGCAACTGACATCGATGGTGCAGCAGTGAGAGGATTCTTGGTACCAGTTCGTGGCCGGAAGAACCATCGAAAGTAACCCGGCCGTTTGAGCAACTCCGCATCGGCACCAACTAGCTGGATTTCGATTAAGCAGCTGCTTTCGCGCTTGTTCCACGGCGGTTAAACTTTTAGCCCGGGTTATCGATGGACAATGGACGCCCTTGAGCCGCTAGGACACTTCCCTCGATCACCAGCTTGAAGCTGCACCCTGTTGGATAGCTCATTGTCATGTCATAATCATGATGGACCCCGCTGTCTATTGCTTTCTGTTTCCAGCCAGACTACATAATTCCTTGGCCGCTCACTGGCGACCGATCCACCGGATCTGGTCGCCTGACCAGCCTTAACGTCTCCTTTTGAGCGAGTTGCCAATACAGCTTTGGCCGATGAATTGTCAGCTGAACCGCCTCCGACAGGGCTTCTGGTGTTCTTTTCGGCGAAAATACCAAATTCAACATGACTGTGTCCTGACACACCCAAGTGAAGACAAAAATCGTAAACAAACTCAGATGCACCACATTATGAAGAGCACGTGGACTTGCACGAGCTGTTACAAGGGAATGCTCTCGCCAGGCTGCATGGGAACCCTGGGCCTTGGAGGCCTTGGAGGCCTTGAAGCTGTTTCTGAAAGGATGTTGGTTATTGGTTATTCGGTGGCGAGAGTAGGGCCGTGAAAGACGCCTCGCCCTCAGGAAGACACAGGACAATCCTCACCTGCCTCGGGCTTGGATATGTTGTTCAGCGGAGAGATCTGTGCTCGCTGAGTTGTTCCACTTGGGCTTGGTGCTTCGCCAGGGCGGGGAGATGTCTGCAGAGATGGAGGTGCTCTGAGTGTGCTGAGTTCTCTGAGGGCTCTGAATGCTCTGAGTGCTCTGAGGGCTCTGAGTGCTCTGTGTCGTCCTTTGAATTTCCCCTGGTCCATTTTATCCTCCAGGAATCAGCGAAGCTCGGGTCCGAATCGCAGCCGCAATCTCCCTTCGAGGCAAAGACTCCGCCAGTTGTTGTCGAGCAGCTGTTGTGGCGTTATGGGAAGCATGGAATGTTGCCGCCAGGAATCTCCCGAGTCGCCGGACAGTGCTTCCTATCCGAGCGGGAAGGCCATGAATCACGGGTATGACAGAAATTCGACGAATGCGGACCAGAGCCTCATGAAACATGCAAAGGTTGGTGAGCTGGAGGTCTGCTTTGCTGACGAGGCCCAGGATCCAGTTTTTGTGAAGCTCTGCCGGTCTTGTCCTCACGCTTTTCTCAGGATGTTTCTGCCCCGGTGGACCCGGGCAGTCCGGAGGCAGCAATCACTCAACGGGTGTTCAAATGTTCAAATGGGCACAAAGGTTACAACAGCTAGGTCGTATAGGAGCCTTGCAGCACCGTCGTTGGTCTAGGCTGATGCGATTATTAGCGCTAATTCACCGACCATAGTTGAGGCATGCGAGGGGATGGAGGGGAGGTTCCGCCAAGTTTTTGCATCGAAGAAAAAGGGTCATGGCTTGGCTTGAAGCCTGTGGTGTATCTTGATATTTGCTTGTTTCTGATGCAACAAAGATCATTTTCCCGGAAGAGTCGAGACGCGTTGCATCTTTTCGAGCCTCGCACTCCGCGACATCCTTCTGCTCTTTTGCGGCCCATGTTGTAAGGGAAGATGTGAAGCCAGGATGCAAAGCTTGAAGGGTCCTATACCATGGACGATGCGCTCGAAGAGGTGGGGTCGCTTCCCAATTCTTCCTCCTCGCCACGGTCCTCCTTCATAGTTCCTTCATGTTTCAGGACCCAAGCGAACAGGAGCCAGAGTGAAGCCATCGCTTCTCTGGTCTTGAGCGCGCTCTCACCGTTAATCGTTAATGCAGCTCGGGCTGCTAAGTGGCCCGAGCTCTCCGTTTGGCCCGAATGGGCCGACGTGCCGCCCTTCAAGACCCATCATTTGGCTGCAAAAACTGCTGCAAATTGCTGCGACAGCTCAAACGATTCTCTCATGGTTTCAAGTCTTTCGAAACTTCCATGGCCCAGCATCACATACCCGCGGCAGAATTTCCCGAAATCCCCCGAAAGGTCTCTCTGCTCAAGCTTGAGAGCTGAGAGGGAGTCTAAGATCCGACTCTCTGCGTAGCGATCCGTTGGGGAACCTCAGGGGAGTGCCTCAGCCCGAATCGTTGAGGTTCCCAGGATCCATATGGTAATGTAGTAATGCAGGTTGAGGTTATTTCATTGATTCATGGTTCTTGTGAAATGGCGTCATCCCGCAACTTCGGACAGCCACATGACCTAACAAGCTGGGTAGGCCGTGTTTCGACAGCTGCCATGTTTCGTGCTTGTGCTGGCCTTGCTGCCCATGGCGCTGTTTCCGGCGAGCCACGTTGTAGTTGTTGGCGGTGGATTGGCTGGAATGGTTGTGGCTAATCAGGTGCCGTCCCTAGCCTGTCACTCCTGGCCTGACCAGAAAAGCTCACAGCAGTCGGCAGATCAATCACAATTCTTTTTTGTGTGCTTTGTCGGTGCGTGGTTTGTAAAGAGATCACGCTGGGGGCCCTGTTGAGTCTTAACCTGAGCAGAGGTCACCCCAGCGATGTTGGCCCGTCTCGTTTGACACAGTGAGGTTCTGGAGCGTGGAGGTCGAGTGCTGGTTCTGGATAAGGAGCGCTTGGGAGTGGGATTTCGTGAAGCTTCGCCGAAGCTTCGCTGCACGTGCTCCACAACGCTCTGTTTTGAGTGGCAGGCTTCCTTCTGCGGCGGCAATTCGGCCAAAGCCACCGCTGGCATCAGCTTCCCAAAGTCTCAGGATGATCTGCATTATTTTCTTCTGAACGAAGTGTTTGGTGCATGCAGCATAAATACAGCTGAGCCATTTGGACGGAGGAAGATGCCACTGGCAGCTTTCGGAATGATATGGCGGCTGCTGGCGGCAGCAGTGCTGCCTTGTCCGAAATTCTTGGCTGCTTGTCTTGGCACACGACATTGACTACACTCAGCAGCATGAACAAACTGCGTCGCTTGGATGCGAGTGCATGCGAAGCTGAGAAGGTCGAAACAGCTTGCCAGACATGAGTTGGCTCATTGACAAGTTCGACCTAAACTTCGCCGTGGTTGCAAAGCACGCTGGGCATTCACATCCACGGACCTATAGGAGCGCTTTGCAGGTGACCCTGCGACCCTCCCCACATCTGCAAATTGCCGCGACCACCCTCTCCGGAACCTTGCAGGAATGGTGATGGAATGCCGGGTATGACGATCACATACGCTCTGATCCAGCGCATCGAGAAGGTTGCTGAGGCTTTAGTGTCCTTGCCATATTGCACTTGACTTTCCCAGCACTTTTTCACACGCAGCACGTTTCAGCCTTTGGAGGTGTCTGACAGAGCGCGGATCGTCACGAAAGCTGAAGTTTCGAGACTGTTGCACCGGGCAGGAAATGTAGTAGGACGGGGCCTTACCTTCGGGGAAATCTTTTTTCATTCTGTGTATGCCTCAATCCGTGACCGCAAGGCTGTGAGTACCAGAAGTTTGGGAGAAGTAGCAAGGAGTATGGCCCGGTCATCCTATGCACGGGCCTCCAGGCAGCAAGGCAGATGAGCTCGGAAGATCTCGCCACATCATTCGGACAGTTAAACGTGCACTTTGTTGAAGCGCCCTCTTCCTTTTCAGTGCTCTGCAAGGTGGCTTCGCGGCTGTCGGGCCAGGGTCTCTGCTGGCACAATTCCGGCCGGACCTCTTGAAGCGCCCAACGGCCAGTGCGGAGCATTGCACGGGAGATGCCCTGAAGCTCGGCCCTTGAGCCGAAGAGATCTGTTGTGATCAGCTGATTCAACTCCGTGCCCATGTAGATCCCTTGTAGATTCCTGTAGATCCTTGTAGATACCTGTAGACTGTCCGTCGATCCCGGAGCGCTAGCCAACAGGTGGCCGATTTGTCTTTCTCTTCATCTGATGCTGTGCCAACTGTTTTTTTGCAAGAACTCGGCCAAAGGCCATGCCGACTCGGGGACATTTCTTTGCGTACATGAGGTCAAGAAGTCGGCGCGAAGACGTTGGATCTTGAGTGGGTGCAACTGCATCCGACAGGGCTGGGCCACACAGTTCAGTTCTGTAGCTTCGGAGCATGTTAGGTGGCCTTTGTTCGGTAAGTGAGTTAAACCAGCCGTGCAGATTGATCCACCTGGATGAGCCTGATGCTCCTCGCAAGGTTGCTTGGTTTTGATAGGTTTTAATGGACTCGGGGACATTGAGGGACCATTTCAGACAGTTTCCGTGACACTTTCTACAGACACTCAGGCTGTTGCAGGAGAGATGTTCCGCTTGGCTGGGGCACTGCTGCTTGATGCGTCTGGGGAGCGCTTTTGCAATGAGCTGGGACCGGCAGCACCTGAGCTGTTCAGCTGTTCAGTGAGCTGTTGCGTTGATGGTGTGAGATAGTCCTTTCGGCAGGGAAAACGGCTGAACCTCTAAGATGCTTGTGGCAATTTCAAAGCACTGCTCGTTAGCCAAGGACCACATCATAGAGGCGATGGCAACACGGCCAGCACCTTTCTGGTTGTGCCTGAACACGGCAGCTTCCCGAGAGCTGCAACGTCAATGCCGGGCGTTTACGCGGCGGAGGCTCATGAAGTGTTACTCATCTGGACGGGAGCTGGCAGAAGAGATGAGGATGGGATTCCCAAAAAAGCACACTAGACAATCTAGACAGTGATGCCGGGCTGATTCCCATTCAACTTTGGCCTCATCGCCGTGGGATGATGCTAGGTGTAGGCGACACCTGTAAGGGCGCCTTGTGTCTCACAGGTGCAGGCAAAGATTTGAATGCTTCGGCAGCACTGTTGTGCGGAAGTGCTTGTGTGAAACGAGTTTCAATTTTCATAAGATCGTTGTTGCCAGTAGGTCTAGTTGAATGCTGGGAGGATACCCGTGCAAAAGCTCGTGGAGGTGCACGATGCCCATGCCGAAGCATTCCGTCGAACGCTGCGGGATGCCGGAAGCAAGGAACGACCAAGCGCCGCAAGCACCGCAAGCACCGCAGAAGCACCTGCCGAGGGGCCTTGGATGGGCTTGGACGGGCGCCACTCTTACGATGAGGTCTCTGGGAAGCTTGGGTTCGGGAAGTGTGACTTCAAGAACGTCCTTGTCGGCTCCAGGGTTCCAGATGAAACCTTCCACGCAGCACAAGTCACCCCAGTGATCTTGTACTGTTCCGGGGGACTTGGGATCTCGGCCCAGGCCGAGGTTCTGAGACAGGATGGGTCACCGATCCCTGGTTTGTTTGCGGCTGGAGAATGCACAGGTGGTGTTCACGGCAAGTTAGCGCTGCCAGGGAATTCCTTGCTGGATTGCCTTGTATTTGGAAGGCTGGCTGCGAAGTCAGCTTGCAGGTACATATTTGGTGAGGATGACGAGTTTCGTCCATGCCCGATCCCGCATGAAGGGCCAGCTGGGACGTTCGAAAAGGTGTCGTGTGTCATGACGTGCAGCTCTCCAAAAGCGTGTCCGGCCGAACTCCGGCTAAGTTGTGGCCGGTTATAATTTGGCAATATTGGGCAAACATTCTAAGACTGGCAGTTTGCAGAGTCTCCCCGTGTGACGTGTTCGACGCCGTCTTTCGGTTGTAGCGGGAAGGGCTGGGCTGTAGTGGCGCAACTATGAGGCGGGGGCACACCACACACATCACACCACCACACATTTTGTTCTTCCTTCCTGACTGCTTTGCGTGGAATCGACATCAAGCTGTCAGCATTCAAGGCGGCGGGGCACAGGAGGCCGGCGATGGCTTCATTTGACCAGCCAGAGTCTTACGAGTTGGCGGCTGTCATTGCATTTTGTAAGTCTTCACAGAAGATGGTACTTGCCGAGAAGTGTTTAAACATGTTAAAGCTTCTGAAAGCATGCTTAAGCAGAACGTGGTCTTTGGGCCATCCTACGTACATATTCAGAAAACAACTCATCTAAGATTCAGCTCTAACACACTGCTTCAGACAGCTCTGCATCTGTCATTGTAGGGGAAGCCATGTGTAATGTTGCCAATGCTGCTTCCTATTGAGCACATGCTAGGCTCAGCCCTCATTAGCGCCGGTGTGGCATTCTGGGTCTGGGCCTCAGTGTACAGCCCCTTAGCGATATTCGCTCATCATTCAGCTGAGGTTTTGGATGACGCCGCACCGCGGCAGGACCTTGGCGCAGTGTGGATGTATCGTTCAGAGAGTTCCACAAGGAATTGTTCATGCCTTGCTGGTTTGAAAACTGCAGCCTTGCACAGTCGTTGGCCTTCCTCCTGGGGATGGGAGCAGGCACAAAAGCAGGGACCAGGCTGGCACGAGCACTCTGTACAGAGGGTGGGCAAACCTGGATTCAAGATTCTTGCTCAGGCAGACGGGTTGCGTGAACCTGCAGGCAAGCCCGGCAGCAGCAAACCTACATGAGCCTGCATCCAAATCTGCCCGGCGCCGCTGTCTGGCACCTGTTGGGAGGCCTGGAACGATGATTCGCCGCCTCCGCCGCCGCCCCGTCCTCCGCGTCCGAGCCCCTTGTGCTGTGGGTGATGTTTGACATTGCAGCCCGGGGCACAGTTGACGTGGAGCTCCTTGAGAAGTTTGCAACCGGCGTTCATTTGCAGGCTCAGGCAACCCTGTTTCTCGTTCCGTTTCGCCTTCCATGCCATGGAAAAGTTGCCAAGCCTGCACAGCTTTGTACGACGAAGTTCCATGGCCTTGTTAGTAATCTCTCGCCTGTTTCGCACAGCATCGGCAAGCACCGAAGACAGGCCCACATCGAAACAACCTGAAGCATGGCTTAGGCAACCACTGTAGAAGCGCCTTTGCTGCACCAGCCAAGGATATCCTCCACGCCGATCTCATTGTCGAGCCATTCGACTCCGAAGAGATCCTGGAGTCCTCTGCGAACACGCTAGGGAAAAAAGTGTCCTTCAAGGCCCGGCCGGGGCTGGGATCGACAAGCGAAGCCAAGCGAAGCCCAGGGAAGCCTTGAAGCGGCAACGGTTCAATACTTCCTTTCCTTAAGGCGCCCCGGACATTCGCATTGTCATGGTCAGCGTTGGTTTCTGTTTTTTTGTTGCTCATGCGTCCTTGCATGGACGAAATTGTTCTCCACAGGCAGTGCCCGGCCTCAAAGCAGCATTTTCCTGTGTTATCGAGCTATTGAAGCCTGTCAAGCTGATTCTGTGAGGTGAGGAGGGTGAAGGGAAACGTCCCTTCAACTTAGTGTCAAAGACGTCCCTTCAACGTAGTGGCAATCTTCTGAGCCGAAGATGTGCAATTGTTTCACTGTGGTTTGCTTGCAAGAAACCGGATGAGCTGGAATCCAGAGATTGAGAAAGTTGGCATCGCACGCTGATTCAGCCTGTCGTTTTTCCGATTGTCAGTGTGATTCAGTGTGTATGCATTCTGTCAAAGGGCGCTTTCGTAGCAGCTTGACTGGAGCCGTTGACATAGAAAAGGTTGGCATGTATCTAGCTTGACATACTTGACATGCTACAAGGTGCTCGACTCGACGTAAGGCGTCTCGCGCAGGCAAGAGGCATCTCATCAGGGCGTCACACGGCAGTTCTACACTACATGATTTACTTTAGCACAGTTGTCTTTTTGACGTGCGGGCGTTTCGCGAGGACGTCCCCCCTGCAGTTTTCGGTTTAGAAATTTGGCTTAGCCTAGATATCTTTGGGGCTTCAAGGCAGTTCTCCAGTATGTAATCTACAGCCCTAAAACCCGACACCCTTGGCCTACCTGTCTACCTCAAGTCCCGCAAAGGTTTCTGGATTTCCGGTTTTATATTATCGACCTTTTACTATCAGAAACCGTTGGCGTCGCACTGTTTGGTCGGGAACGGACACTCATCCTCCTGTTTCCAGCAATTTTACTTTGTTGCACAGTAGTTTGGCAAGGGCGTAAGTTTTGGGTTTTCAGAGTGCATCGTCGTTCGCAAAATTTCTATGGAATCGATACTCTGCGCTAGGTCTCTGTGCTAGGTCTTTTTGCTCTGTTGCAAAAGTAGCTTGGCAAGGGCGTCTCCCGAGGGATTAGCTTTCCCTATTTCGTCTTTTGCATGCAGGGGGTGCCATTTGCATTTGAGTTGCCTTTTGCCTGCGAGGGTCGTCAGGGCGGGCGCCTTGTATGTAGCACCTGGCATCCCCTACGTTTGAATTCGTTCAAGTTTCAACTAGTCTTGGAAGCCGTTTGATGCTGGAATTGTTGACGTTTCAGTTGGCAGTTGTTGGCCTTCTTTCAAATGAAATTTGCGCTCAACTCCGGTCGTGTTTTTTCTTTCTTTGCTTGCCCGCAGCTTATTGGGTTGCACATGCCGTGAGCATCTTCTTGATCTCGGAGCCGGCGCAGTGAAAAGTCGAGAGGTCCAGAGTCCAGATGCGAAAGGTCCAGAAGTGAAAGGCCCAGACGTAATGCAGATCACTCTCGACAATATCGATTTCGACATGATCCATTGACTGTGCGTCGATCAGGGCGTGAATCATCTCCTGTGGTGCGGCCAGTGTTTGCCGCAATTTGCGAAGACTCCATTTCAGCATTCGTTTCAGCTTGAGCAGTTGCCGGCAATAAACGCAGTCTCAGCAAAATCTGGACGCTTCAGGCTGATTGTTCGGTCGGAAAAAAGGCTGTCCTGCAGTAACCCTGCTTGTATGTTCTTCGGAGAAAACTGTTCTGGGTATTCCTCCTTTTTATGTTCGGCCGGAGGGACTGTCCTGGAGTGATCCTGCTTTTAGTGTTCGGTCGGAGCAAACTGTCGTAGACTGGTCCTGTTTTCTTGTTCGGTCGGAAAAACTCTCCGCGGTTTAGGGTTTAGGGTTCAGGGTGTAGGGTTCAGGGTTTAGGTCATTTGTTAAAAGCGAAAGCGCAAACAGATGCGTAGCACAGGTGCAAAGTGCGGCTTGCAGTTGGTAGCGATGCACGATTTCACAGACTTAGCTGTCTCTGTAGCGGTTAGAACGTTGCCATTGCATCACGTTGCACCTATTTGCCCCTGCAATTGCTAGCAGCACCTGGCCACCCAGATTGACTCGCGGAAAAACAGGTGATTTGCACCCCGCAAGCTCGCGCAGCTATGAAAGCCGCTGCACTTTGCTCATTTTCTGAGAGCTGCGAAGTTTTGCAGTGAGCCCCCTTCCTGTGTCCAGGGGTCGGGCATTAGACTGCAATGATCGTTGTAGAACATGTGCGGTGCAACAGCCAATGTGTGCTTCCAGAGCGGTGTGCACTGTCATATGCATTGGCGGTGTGTTTGTGGCTGGTGCTAGAACTGTTGGACTGTTGGTGTTGTGCCATTCGGCCTGCGTGTGTGCGTATTGTGCAGGACGAGAGTCTACTTGCATTCGCTTCTACGCGACCTTCTCCCACCGAGCCGAACACGCAAGTCTTGAAACGGGAGAGTGTTAAAGTCAGTTACCTTTTAGTGCAGCAACTTGGATGAGTATTGGTGCCTGCAGTTCAAATTTGTTATTTGCTGCAGAAATTTCTTAGCTGTCACATGCCCAGAGTCCAACAACGTGTGTTACGCCGGATGTTTCTGATAGCTGTGGGCCTTCATCAAGGCAAGCGGCAAAGCTTCGGCGGGCAAGGCATTCCCACCATGGACTTGTAAGTTGCACAAGCCACGTTTGCATCATCTTGCGCTGTCCATCACGGTAATTGCATAAGCAATTCAGTTCACCGCCCATCTGCGGATGGGCAACGACCTGCATGATTGTCAAGGATGTGCTAGTCATGGCTTGCTTGCTTGGAGATGTGTAGCTTCGCACGCGGCTTTACAGGAAGCGGTTGGCCGCTTTCCTCATTAAGAACGGCTTCAGCCCCGACGATGTGAACAAGATGAAGACCAGATACCTCGGCTTGTCACGTGCCCCGGCATGTTTTTTCAGGGTATTTTAGGGTCAAGGTTGGCCCTGTGTCGTTGTACGAAGGCCAGTGTAGCCTTGGTCTTGGCATGACAAGCCCAGTCCTTGATGCCCTCTGCAAGATTTGCTTTACTTCCCTCACACGAAGCAGGTACATTCGCTTTGCACGAAGCTGCCAAGCAAGACGATGCTCTAATGGTGCGCTTGCTGTTGTACTTCGGTGCTGACTGCAGCAACAAGGACAGCTCAGGCCAGGCTACGTCCATGTTGGTCCAGTCTCCTCCATGAAATCAGTGGAACTTGAGGCGGGGTTGCAGGGTTTGGTTCAACTCTTCACCTCCAGGCCGTACAGCGTACGACTATGTCAAGGCAAAGCCTGCAGACGAGGCCTTGTCGAGAAGACATGTGAAGACATGTTGGTATCAGAGCTTGTTTCAGAGTGGGACATATGCTAGTCAGGAATGAGGCAGGCGGGAAGCAGAGGCATTGTGTGCACACTGGCCAAAGATAGCTCTGGATTTGACTCCTGACGTATTGCAGGAGGTACGCCGGCTGCTGGAAAAATATGGCAGGCAGCAGTCTGCCTGGCACAGGAGCGGAAAGCCAGTTCAGGTTTGTAAGACCATTCGCAGTTGGTTTGCTTGCCAAGAAGAGGGTGGTGGGCATGAGCATGCCTCGAGGGCTTCGGGGGCAATTTCAATAGTTTGGAGGGTTGGAGACTCTGGAGGCTAGAGGAATAGGTCCCTTTGGGGTGAATTCGACAGTGCACTTAAGGCCTGTCGCGCTGGTTTCAGGTTATGTGTGCGTGTGACCATCTTCAGGGCAGCACCTGCCGAAGTCCGCAAAGCGAAGCATAGCGAAGCATGGCGAAGCATGGCGAAGCATGGCGAAGCATACATTGTTCAAGAGGAAAAAGGTCTGCGGTCCTCGGTTTGTCTCCGGCCCTCGGCTACCAAATCCTGAAACCTCTTCGAACTCGACCCACTTCGTAACATTGCAAGGATTCATTCAGCACCAGGGTTCGAGGAGTTTATGACGACGGTCGAGAGGATGAGGAAGGAAGTGGTGGCCTCAGAGCTTTGAATTGAGGACCATGCAGTCGATTTTGACAGTACCGGTCCTCACTAAATCAGGACCTCCTGAGCGTACTGCAGTTTGCAGAACAGAACATAAGGTCTGAATTGCAGTGCTGTTTCTGTGTTTTGGGGCGCAAGGAACAAGTGCAAAGCAGCCGAAGCACCTCGAAGGGGACCTTGGGTGGAGTCTCCTCTTCACCATTGCCAAAACATGCCAACCATCTAGAGCAGGCTTGAGAGTCGATAGAGTGCAGTGCAGTCCTCATCTCTTGCTTGGCAGTGCCGAGAGCTAGAGTGCGTCGCATTTCTGACCTGTTGCATCCCAGGAGTCGCTGCAAGTCCACAGCAATCGAGTCAGCGGATGACGTTGGTTCATCAATCTAGTACTCTCTCCTTGCAGCTTGGTTTCGTTGGGAAGTACATCTGTGCACAGCTAATAAGAAACAGGATCCCGATTCAAGAAGAAAGTCCGACAGCTAGATTCGGGGAAGCTCGACGGGCCACGTGGTCCGGCCGCAGGTCCGAGGTACGCATAAAGGTAAGATCGCCTGTGCGTCGGGGAGTCTGCATGTTGCCTTTTGCCCACGCCCGCAAGTGTTGCAATACGTGGTGGGTGGGGGGGAGCGCAGGCAGGAACTGGTTGCGCGAGTGTATGCTGCAATAGCTCGGCTTCTCGAAAATACCTTCGCATTCGAAGATTCGAAGGTGTCTTAAGAACTCTTTACACTTGTTCCTAGCCATCAGGGAGCACTACCCTATACAGATAGGGTTCCCCATTCTTTGGGAGCTACATGGCCGAATGGTGAGTGAAACGCGCGTGGCTATTTCGGCCACAAAGAGCCCCCATTTGGCCGGGCAGGCCTTCTTGCTGCCCGGCCCGCCCTGCCAAAAGCTTGGAAGTGAAAGGCAGTCCGGGTCCTCGAGTTACGGATTGGGGGTTGCTAGGTCCAAATGGGAAGTTCGTTCGAGGGTGAGCGCGGATAGGCCCGCAGATTTGGAAATCTTGTGTAAATCTGGAAATGCATAGCCATTTATGTGGTGTAAAGAGGAGTCAGTAAACTACTTACGTGCAAAAATAAACGGAAGTTGGGGCTAAGACATCGGCTAAGACATCGCTTTGTTCCATTTTGTGTATACACGAGTTGTGATTTAATCGGAATTCTGATGTGCATTTACAGTATCTCAACGGACAATCGTACAAGAAATTAGACCAGCTGATCTCCAACCATATTCTGGGCAAAATAGCAAAGCGAATTGGAGTTTGAATTTGGGCGGAGTTCGCAAAGTCAAGAGCGTTAACATGCGTTACTTATAAGTTCTTCTCATGAATCCAATCAAAATACTTTGTTATTGTTGAGTTAGACGAACTTGGGTAAACGAATGGTTAATTCGTTAAGGCATGATGCTAGAAAGTTTGTTTTGGTCACTGTCGTTGTTGTTGCATTTCAATCCACAGTGTCCTGTGGTGTTACCGTTACAACTGGGCCGTTCCATCGATCACCAGGATGTAACCATAAGACCCAACAGTCCACACGCTGACACCCCCAACACAGCTCAAGACATTACCATCTTGACTTAGAAACCGTACCATTCACACCTATCATTAAGGACCCAATATTCATACAGAAGCCCGAAACTAAGGCTACGTCGGACCTATGGGTAGGTCTACCCTAGGCCTACGGGTAGCCTATGTACAGGCCTACGTAGAGGCTATGCGAGGCTACCTATAGGCCTATCCGTAGGCCTACGAGTGGGCTACTGGTAGGCCTCCCTGTAGGCCTACCAGTCGCCTATTGACAGGCCTACCAGTAGGGTGGATAGCCTACCGGTAGGCCTACCCGTAGGCCTACGGATAGGCTACAAGCAGGCCTATCCGTAGGGCTATAGGTGGGCTACCGGCAGGCCTACCCGTAGGCCTATGGGTAGGCTACCGGTAGGCCTGCGGGTAGGCTGCCGGTAGGCCTATCCGTAGGCCTGCGGGTAGGCTACCGGCAGGCCTACTCGCAGGCCTACGGGTAGGCTACCGGTATGCCTACCCGCAGGCCTACGGGTAGGCGACCGGCAGCCCTACCCGCAGGCTTATACGTAGTCGAGGCATAGTAGTAGTGATGATCTCGGGGCTGGGACTCGGGCACAAAAAGGAGGGCCTAATAGTCCATGCGTGCGTGATTTCTTTTACGGATGCACATGATGTCTCGGGTCGAGAATTTAGGGAGCAGTTTGACGGGTGCTTTCGTCGTTTCTCGAGTCCTGGGGCTCGGTCCAGGGCCTCGGGCGTAGGCCCTGGACCGAGCCCAGGACTCGAGAAACGACGAAAGCACCCGTCAAACTGCTCCCTAAATTCTCGACCCGAGACATCATGTGCATCCGTAAAAGAAATCACGCACGCATGGACTCTTAGGCCCTCCTTTTTGTGCCCGAGCCCCAGCCCCGAGATCATCACTACTGTATGCCTCGACTACGTATAAGCCTGCGGCCGGTCGCCTACCCGTAGGCCTGCGGGTAGGCCTACCGGTAGCCTACCCGTAGGCCTACGGGTAGGCCTACCCGTAGGGCTGCGGGTAGGCCTACCGGTAGCCTACCCGTAGGCCTACGGGTAGGCCTGCCGGCAGCCTACCCGTAGGCCTACGGATAGGCCTACCGGCAGCCTACCCGCAGGCCTACGGGTAGGCCTACCGGTAGCCTACCCATAGGCCTACGGGTAGGCCTGCCGGTAGCCTACCTATAGCCCTACGGATAGGCCTACGCGTAGGCTGCCGCAGACTCTACCGACAGGCCTACGCGTAGCCAGCCGTAGGCCCTACAGCAAGGGCTACGGGTAGCCTATACGTTTGGGCTTCTTTACCCCAATATTGAGGTTTGCCCATGAATCCGCCCTTGAGACCCTAACTCTCATATCTTGGTCTAATCGTTCACACCCTTGGAATCGCATGCCAGGTTAACCGCTCTCTCCCTGTCACACCTTGAGACCCTTTCATCCTGGTACGCGATTCACCCTTTCTCTCACTCTCAGACACTAGTTTCTCCTTGTCAGGTACGCTCTTGAGACATCTTTTTCCAAGGAGTTACAGTAAGCCTTTCCCGGTCTCCTGTCATTCACCTCACTTCGTTCTCCCTTTCACACTCACACTATGGACTTCCGCGAGGGAGACCAGTGGAAGTGCAGGTATGCTAACGGCGGAAAGCTACTGCGTCGTCTGTGCTGCATCGTGAAGGGCCGTGAACTCTTTTAAAATCCCAATTTCATTATATTTCACGCTTTGTTCACACTGCATTGTAATTATAATGTGGGCTTTTAGGAGATTCCGGACGGTTAGACGGGAGATTGGGGTCCGTGGGTGGGTTCCGTGTCAAGAGAGATGATGGTACGGTTTCTAGACCAGATGATACGGTAAGACAAGGGTGTGAACGGTTAGACCAAGATTTGAGAGTTTGGGTCTCAAGGGCGGATTCATGGGCAAGACTGACAGGTGGGATGGATTCCAGAGTGAAGAGAGCCGTGTGATGAACCTATAGAATGAAGATATCCTAGAGTCAAAGGAGAAGACACCAAAAGAATTATATGAAGAGAATTATATTCGCACAGGATTATAAGGAATCAAAAGACGCATGAATGCCGTGCGAATATAGTGAACGAAATACCCGGGCATTTACTACTATCTTTATATGCGCCCGGGGTAATAAGAATAGAATAGTAATACGAAGAGAATATTATTTCGCAAGCATTACAATGAAAGCGTGAATGCTGTGCGGAATAATATGAACGAAGCGGGGGATTTTAAGGGGGCCACAATATTATTATTACAAAAGCCCCCTTAATAACAAAACAACCAAAAGATAGGAAAGTTATTCCTGATCCAATTGATGACAGGGAATTCCAGGATTTAAAAGAATCTGGAAAGGATGGGATTCTTCTTGGCGTAACATTAAATCCTAAGAAAGGCATTGGGGAAAAGGTAAGAAGAATACCAATAAATATTAAATGTAGATGAAAAAGAGAAAGTGTACTAGAGGATGAAAGTAATAAATTCTTCGTACCAACAATCTTTTCTCCATGAAAAATGAAAAATAATTCCAGGGAAGACAGAAATAGTGGCTCCCAAAAGAAAGAACAAAATGAAAATGTGCTACAGCATAATATGTATCATGTACTCCTAGATCTACTGCAGCATTTCCAAGAATTATTCCTGTAGAACCACCTATAGTCAACATTAATAAGAAGAGATGTGAGAAGAAGACAGAACTAATTCTAAGGTGTAATAATGGTGGATTTCCAAGATATGTCAAAAGCCAATTAGAGATTTTTGTACCAGTTGGTAAGGATATTAAGATTGTAGCTCCTGGAAAATACGCTCTTGTATCACTTTCTAAACCTACAGTATACATATGATGCCCCCAAACAAGACTTCCAAGAAGAGCAATAGATGACATGGCAAAGATTATTGATTGGTTACCAAAGATTATTAATTGTAAAATTCCAGAAATTATTATGGAAATGATCCCAAATGCAAGAATTATTAAGATGTAAACTTCTGGATGTCCAAAAAACCAAAATAACTGTTGATAGAATATAGGATCTCCTCCAAATATAGGATCAAAGAAAAGTGTATTAGAATGAAGATCACTCAATATTAAAAGAAGTGTACCAGATAAGATTGGTAATGTTAATAAAAGCATGAAAGCTGTAATCAAGAAAGCCCAAGGAAGTCATGGGATAGCCTTTAATGTCAGATAATAAGATCTCAGATTTAGAATTGTTGTCCAAAAGTTAAGAGATGTAAGACATGAAGATATACCAGAGATCAATAATCCAAATATTAGATTTCCTGTACTTGAAGGTGATGAAGTCATAAAAGAAGTGGATAATGGTGGAAAAATGTTCATCCTGTACCACAAATTCTGAGATTATAGAAAGGATTAGGAAAAGATATGAAAGTAAAAGAATTAAGATAGACAAATTATTGACTCTAGGATATGCCACTTCTGGAGACCCTTGAAAGATAGGTACAACATAATTTCCAAATCCTCCATCCTTACATTATAGAAGTTCTGGTTTTCTGGAGATATAATCCTATTTCCTGATGAATATAATTCTATTCTTATAAGGACTGATATTAATGTTCCGGAGATTCCAAAGATGAATCCAGATAATCAATAATAAATTCCTAAGCCTTTATGATTACAATTTTTAACTAGTGATAGAAAAGATACGAACGGGCCAGGCTTGCCTTCATGAGAAAACTCCAGGAAATGGCCACGCAAGAAACAGAAACAAAAACATTCAAAAACACGCAGCACACGCACACCCAGAGTCCCCGGTTGTGAAAGTTAGAAATCAAAAGTTCTTCGTGAACAGAACCAAATCGGACCAACATCCCGCACCTGTTCGGAGTCTGAAAAAACTGCGTGTTTCGTGCTTCGACGCTTCGCGGCTTCAGTCTTCTGGCGGTCTCAGTTGTCGCACCCATTGTTGCCAACATCATGCCATCAGATTAGATAGCTTGTTGTGTGTTGTTGTTTGCTGTGCTTCGGCTTAGCGGATCCAGTGCAAGGATGTATTCGGGGAGCGAATAGTGGACAGACGCGAAGGGGTTGCCTGTGAGTTAAGGTGACGCCTTGAACTGCAGAATGCCGATGCCGAGAACGCCTCGGTAGTTACGTTTCAGTATGGGTGTTGCCGAACTTGCAATCTTCTTTCGTTGATGTTGTATAGAGAAGGTATAAGGTACATTGCAGTATCGGCACACCGACTTCTGCCGCGGCTAGTTTCATGCTTCATGCTTTTGCCCCGCCCCCTCCCCTTCCCCCTCCCCCCTAATTCGCATGTCATTCCGGAGAATTTCGAATGGCTGCATGAGTGCACATGAGTGCTGCAACTGCAACAGCCACCCGCAACAGTTTTTCTTCGCAATGGAACCGCGTCGCGATGGAACAGATGTACCGTTTGGCCTGTATCATGTTGGTAACCTTGCGGGCATGTTGTCTCTGATTTCGGCCTCGAGGCCAACACTAGCATAAATTGCATCCTGCATTCAATCGACTGCTGAAAGGAGTCTTGATCATTCGACGATTGTGCAACTGCAAGCTGTGCGAGCCCACGTTTGACACGTTTGAACAAGCGTAAATCTGGAGGCTTACTGCAAGACACAATGTTGTTTTCGGCATCTTGCACTTGCAGAAGTTGCTTTGTGTGCTTGTAGAGAGTGACTTTAAGCTGCTTCTCTTCGACTGCCCCGCCAGATGTTTCACCTAGACGGTGTAAGCAAGGCGTGGCAGTGGGGTGGAGATTTGCTTGAGTCTTTCAGCTTTCTACAGGTGCTTCACGTTATCGGCTGAGCATGTTTCCAGCATCGACTGTTGCCTTTTGACAGCAGCGGAGGTTCTGTGATCTGCGTGTGCGACGCATGTGATCCACATCGGAACAGGGCAACATGCAAGGACTTGATTAATATGGCGAATTCGGTCAGGCACACACAGCAAGAATTCCTCTCATAAGCTGGAAAACGTTCCAGTGAGGCAAGCTGCATCAGGCAGGCCTTACTCACCCCCGCTCATGCTCGGTGCTAGTCGTTCCGCTATTGCCCAAAAAGACTGGCAGCACGTGCTCGGGATGGTATTTGCAACTCGGTCTCCCCAACAGTTATGCTGGTCTCGACGGTATTGCGATGCTGAGGTGAGCGAAAAATGACAGACGTGGAGAAGCAAGCTGACGCAATCGTTCATGCGGTGCGCGCCCATGTAGGTACACGACACGTGTAATTCAATGCAAAACAATGCTTGGCTTGGAAATCATACATTCAACAAGCTTGCAGGCACACTAGTTGGTACAGTTTGACTGCATTAGCAATTTGGCAGTAGGTGCTTGCTTCTGCTATGGCTTTCTTAGCGTGTTATGGAAAGCGTTGTGATCTTTAGAGCCGGCTCTGAGTACGACAGGTAGTCGCAGTTGAGCTGCTCCACTGGCATGGGAAGCTGGGTGGGACCTTGGAGCACTCTGGCAGAAAGTTACTACAAGCAGCAAAGCCCACATTTCGACATTTCGTCATGCTTGCAGTTGCAGCGTAGTACGTCGCGTGCTCTGTGCGAAGTAACAACTAAAGCAGTCTTCGTGTTGTGTGAGTGTGAGTGTGAGTGTGAGTGTAAATGTAAGTGTAAGTGTAAGCGTAAGTGTAAGTGCATGTGTAAGTGTGTTTGATGTGACTACAAAAAGCCGATAAGTGTCGCTTTGGGTTTTGGGCTTGCACTGCTGTCGGGGTTTAGGGTTAGGGGAACAAGGGAGTCTTGGGCTTGCGCTGCTTGTAGGGTTGAGGGGAGTAGGGAGCAGGTTTCGGGCTTTGAGTGTACAGGAGCCAAAAGAGCTCACACGAGCAGGAAGTCTTAAAACAAAGCACAGAAACCCGAGCCCTGCCCAAATCGTTAGAGACTGACCGCAAGACCTTTGGAAGTCGGGATTAAACTTCCACTGTTGGAGCATGCAGTGAACTTGATTCGTCATGGGTCGAGAAGGGTATTGGGGTTAGCAGGGTTTGCTTACCTGCCGACCCCCCCAAACCCCCACCGCATGGGCAGTGTAAGGCGAAAGTGAGAAGTAGAACCCGGAAAGCATGAAGCTCGAAACGCAACATCTTTAGGAGTCCATGCAGCGGGAACTTCAAATCGCTCTGTGGTAGTAACGGTACGCCCCCGTGTCAAGAAATTGCGCGTTGGAGCCGCTCTTCCAAGGAATGCATTTCGAAAGTGCTTGCCTCAGGGTGTCTTCAAGCGTCAGTAGTGTTGTGCCGGCAACATAGGTCACCTCATGACCAGTGCATGCAAGATGGAAGATGTGCGACCTACTACGAAAGTTTTTCGTCTCAGCTTGTTCATCAGCAGGTGCGTCTATGTTCCAGTACTTCCCAGGCTTCTTGCGTGCGTCTTCTGCATCGCATCTTAGTCCTTCACGTGGCGAGCTGTGAACGAGTGTGCTCTGATGATGCCCATGATGGATCATGACGGTCTGTGCGTGGTGATGCTAGTAGGGCAGCTGATTGACTGGACCGGTGCAATCCGCGTTGTCGCTCCCTGACAGGTTGAAGCGATTGACTAATCGCAAAGACAGTGCAGATGTAAACCTTGCGCGAGTTTTTGACCCGTTTAGCCATGCGTTGTATAATGCACATTGCCGGGACGTCAGCGTTTGGCCAGGACTTCAAAATAGATATGAAGACCGGTCGGAAGCTGTCACGCCCCAGTCGAGTGCATGATGCAGCCCAGGCCTCAGAAATTTCAGGCTATTGAGGAGCTACTGCAGCACCGGTGACTCTTTGGTCCTGTAAGGCACTCGAAAAGCAGTTTACGCTGGGCTATGTGCGCCGGCAAGTTGCTCCAACCGACTGTAGCAAGTACACAGATCAAGCAGGTGTTTGGAAAGGGCAGCGGTCCTTGACCCTTGACCTCATTCTCTCCCGCTTAATGCCGTGTAGCTTTTCCTGCCAGGCATTTACTGGCGTAGCTCTTGATGCTTTGGCCAGAGGCCGATCAGCAGAAAAGAATAGCACAGTACATCCACTTCCGGGCTCCTATTGCGGGGTGGGGGTTCTTTTTGGGTATATTTTTTGGTTTTTTTTGGGTATTTTTTTTGTTTTCTAAACCCTAAACCCTAAACCCTAAACCCTAAACCCTAAACCCTAAACCCTAAACCCTAAACCCTAAACCCTAAACCCTAAACCCTAAACCCTAAACCCTAAACCCTAAACCCTAAACCCTAAACCCTAAACCCTAAACCCTAAACCCTAAACCCTAAACCCTAAACCCTAAACCCTAACCCTAAACCCTAAACCCTAAACCCTAAACCCCAAACCCTAAAACCCTAAAACCCTAAAACCCTAAAACAAAACCCCAAAAACCCTAAAACCCTAAAACCCTAAAACCCTAAAACCCTAAAACCCTAAACCCTAAACCCCAAACCCTAAACCCTAAACCCTATACCCAAAAACATACCCTAAACCCAAAAACATACCCTAAACCCACAAACATACCCAAAAAAAAACAAAAAAAACACCCAAAAAAAACCTGGCTCCCCTATTGCGTAGATGTTTAAAGTTTAGGAGCATTAGGCAGCGACACAATATGACACAATGCAATGCAATCTGCTTACTGGAACTGTCTGGTGCTCGGAGGTGACAACGGTCTTTGGCTTCCGCTTGCCCGATACCAGGACGGAAAGACGATGGAGCGAGGTTGTTCATCTCTGCCGTTGATAGTCAAGGGCACTTCGATTGGTTAACAGGGATGTTTGAAGGCTTTCGCCGAGACCCAGAAACTTTAAAGTGCCCCAAATCGATGCAGTGAATTCCCGCTGGGGACAGCTGGAATTCTCGGTCTATACTTCGTGAGGGTTTCCTGCGGACCCCTAGTGGCAGTGAGTAGTAGAGTAGTAGAGTAGCAGAGTAGCAGAGAAGTAGAGTAGTAGAGTCGTAGAGTCGTAGAGTCGTAGAGTCGTAGAGTCGTAGTCGTAGTCCTAGTCCTGGACGAATCTTTACGTTCGATATTAGTCCCCGAACCCTTTCGCTGGAACATCTTTTCGCAAGCGAAGAGTCGAACACAGCTGCAGAGGCCTGGGCCAGAACTGGCCGTAAAGCTCAACCCCAAAACTCAAATCGGGGAATTCACATGCAGGGTAGTCAGATGTTCATTGGCAAAAATGGGAGGCTCGCAGGGAGCTCAACCTTGCAGATGTAGAGCCTGGCGAGGATCCGCAGGCGAAGGACGTGTGAACGTTTGTGGGGAGTCACTGCCGTTTCTGATCAGGGTCACAGCTCTTCGTTGCGATACGCATGTGGCATCCTGGAGCAACGCCTGCATGTCTTTCTGCAGGACCTTGTGGCGTTCAGCCAAGGTTTCGTGAAGTCTGAAGCTGGCGAGGAGCCAATGCAAGCTGTATTGCATTTTGTCGAATCTAGTCACTAGTCCGGATTCCGGTTCCAATGGTGCCCGAACAAAAGCCCCGAACTCGAGCTGGCCGGCGCTGAAGTTGGCGTACATGGTGGCACCGAAAATCGGGGTGCCGAAATCAAAGCCCTAAACCTGCGCCTTGAGCCTTGAGCCCTGAACCCTGCAAGCCCTGTAACCGAGGACCGAGTGGTGGGGGGCGCAGGGGAAGGGGCCCGTCGAGCGACCATTTATGGCTGCCGGAGAGATGAGGGTCTGCCGGGAGCCAATGGTGGAAGGTTCGAGGCGTCGCGAATCTAGATCTTGCAGCTGCAAAGCTCAGGAGGTAGCACCGTGGTGGAGACAGCATGCGGTCAGTTCGAAGTGACGCTCCTGAGTAGCAGCCAGTCAGGTGCCCGCTTGGCCATGAAGTCGTCTGGGCGCCCCGATCCAGCTTGCCTACTCAGAAGTGCAACCAGATCAAAACCAGCCCTGATCCAGCTCCAACAATGCCAAACGTTGGCCTAGACATGGCGAGGTTGTGTACTTACCCAATGACTTCCGCCAAGGCCAAGTCCGACAGCCGACAGCAACAACTTCGATCTTAGCATCCTGGAATGGTCCAACAGCCAGACAGTTCCCCGAAAATGGACATCCAACGGCCAAGCAGCAAGGTATCACAAGAACAGAGCCACCAACAGCAGCGGCAGAGCAAACAAAGGACCCAGTGGCAAGAGATGGCCACGGTCAAAAACTAAGAAACGCCAAGCGATCAAATGAAGCTGGATGTCGGCCATCGTTGAAAGATCACGAACAACAACAGTAATGCTTCTTGAGCTTCATGCCTTGGCGACATACGTCAGGATGTGTCCAAATGGTTCGAAAACAGTTAAGCTTGAGTAACAGAATACTTCCCCACTGAGCGCCGGCGCCTGGAGGAGCTGGTCCAGGTCACAACTCGCGCCGCCGCGCTGCTGCAGGGATGGGTGGGTGGCATGTGCTGCTATGGCTGCTATGGCGGCTACGATGCTATGCATCTGCCATCCTTCAAGCCAGCGCAATGTGACAGAATGGTATGTGGAGTACTGTTCGATACCAACATTGAACAAGGCAACACATGCTGAGCACTCCTCCGTAGCATTCACTGCACTGGTAAATGTGTTGATGGATTTGATGCATGAGCTTCTGCCGCCTGAGGTTGGGCATGGCGACGCGAGACAAAACATTTGGATACTTCCGGTCTGGCTGCCCTGTTCCGCGAGTCTCCTTTGCAAGCTCTCGACTCTGAGTGTGGCAAAGCTGTGTCTCAGTTTCGATGCACGTCCACCACGCCATGCTAAACTTTGAGAGGATACTGTGAGAGCTTAAAGAAAGGCTGGCCGTTGCATGCCCGATAAGCGAACAGGGGCAACTTGCGGAATAAACGGACTTGGAGTAAAAAGGTCGACATAGAAACCAGCATTGTCAACTTAGCATCTGGAGTGCTGCGCGAAACTCGCAGGAAATTAAAGGCTGGCCCCTACTGTGGAAGACGCAAGGCGGACGGCCCTGCACCATCAGCAGTCTTGCTCATCGCATCCTGGGGGATCAACGTGCTGTGAAGTCCCTATGTGACAGATTCGCCGCGACCGAGACTCGTTGGATCCTTTATCCAACCACGGAAGCGGGAAGTCGGATGTGGAGTAAAGGACCAAGTTGGAACGATGCGGCCCATCGTTCACTCCATCACATGACCTCGTTGTGCTCTCAGATCCGGCAGTTTCCCAAACAGGGTGTAAAAAACATGACCTTGCTGGGTCTCAGACCGGCCGTAATGGGCAGAAGGGATGGACAGTATTTGTGCAAGAGCCTGGCTTTTCAGCCGATTTGAACCCATCCAATGTCAGCCGATCTGAACCCACTTTTCATCCAGCTCGAGCCATTCCGAACCCACGTTTAGCCGGTCTGAACCCAATGTTTCAGCCGATCCTGCCCGACATCAGACAGCACACGGGCCCGCCCTTCCCCCTCTTTGGTGTGGGATACCGTGGCAGGTCTTCGTGGATCACGATCGCTCCTCACATGCTGAGCGGCAGGCACACTGAGACAGCAACTGTAGCCGCTGATTAAGAATTTCGGCAAGCTCAAGGCTTCGAGCATCCATGATCTTGACACATCTTTTGCATGCTTTGGCTGTGTGACGGAAGCGCGGGTGCCCCAATCGGCCCTGGCCCTGAAACCCTCACCCTTCTCGTTGTTTTTGTTTGCCAGGACCGAAAAGAAACACCAGTCGTCAACACCCCTGAGAATCACTCCGATTCGATCCCTGCAACATCTTGCAAGTGATGCTGAGATTGCATTTCTACAGTTGGGCCTTTAGCTTTAGCTGTTGTCAGGCTTTGCTGGTGTTGCTCCAGGCCAGGCTTTCGAAGTACCAGCGCCAGCAGCTGTTGTGCTGGGTGTTTTTCTCCGCAGCTATAACACTGCAGATTTTAGGCGACCAGGCGACCCTGTCACTGAATCTAACCAAGCAGCGGCACGAGAGTGGCGCGGTGACTTCCGAGGCCGCACCGATCGACCCTGTCAGTGAGGGCGTGAAGAAGGGAGCCGGTCAGCCCAGCATAGCGTCCGCTTCCAGCTTTTCATAACTTAGCATGTCTGCTTAGCTTCCCTGGGCGTTTGGGAAGTTTTGGCGTTGTTGCTGGTGGTGGAAACAAATAATTGGGACTTGTTTTGGTTTCTGTTTGTTTGATGTTGTTGTTCCTGTTCCTGTCGTTCTTGAGGTGGCGTTTCAAGTAAGCGGGAGTGGTTTTCGATCTTGTTTTCAGAAATCCCTCCGCCCTTCCGGTTCCTTGCCCAAAAGTGACTGGATTGATGCATTAGACTGAAAGGCAGAAGAAGGGAGATCAACAAGTGAGACATGACTGTAAGGTCGTCGGCCAGATGCGGGTGTTTGCCAGTCACACTCCATGCATTTCGTGTTCCTTGTCGGCATTTGGTTTGACAACTTAGTCCACAGGATGCCTGATGCATTGTGGCATATTGCAGCATGTTGCGGCGTTGGGTTTGTTGGGACAATTTGGGGCCGAGGTCTCTCTTCGATGTGCCAGTTCACAAGATGTTTTGAAGGCCCGGTTCAAGCGCCCTACCTTCCTATGCGATGAGTATCACGTGCCATCGCTTCGCCAGGCGCAGGCATCTCTGCAAAATCCTCAGCACAAGTTAGCCTGAGGCAAAGCAACTCGAGGGGCAGCAGCCGAGGTCACCTATGACACGTGGAAGGAGACTCGACGCTGGATCGGCCTGGATCCGCCTGATGGCGAGGGCCTGATCGGGCTGTTGGCAAGAGTACGGGCGCTTTGTTGCTGCAATCCTCATTTGTCTGCGTGCCCGTGCCTCTGTGCCAGAAATCCCGTCCGAAGATGAGGAGGAGAAGGCTTGATGTTACCGTTGAGCGTATCGGCAACTATTCAGATGTTCAGTGGCTCACAGTTTCTGTGCGTGATCAAAGTTTGCAATTTTGCCCCAAAGTTATATTGAATTGTGCGCCCTGGTTGGTATATGATGTGTTTTTCCCTGTGCCTTCCTATGAAACTTTCCGTCGTATGCATCGCATTCCCATTCCGTGCACAGTTGGTAGATGCTCTCTGCGTTGGCCAGGCCTGATAACCCTTCGTGAATGAGCCGCGTGCTGGTTCGTTCTTTGTCCTGGACCTTGCTGAGTACACCAGTAGTGGGTTCTGTTGTGGAGGAGCTCAGAAATCAGAAACGTCGAGTCAAACCATGTTGAAGAACCTCATAGGCGGCATCACGATCGTAGCTTTGCGTCTTGTCCTCGTGACTGTCTCACAGTCTCACATTCTGGCATGCTTCGTATCAGTAAATTCATGTAGCCAGTGTTGTTCCTTAAGGATTGCATGCCAGACCGCCGAGCCATGAGTACGCAAGAAAAAAGAACAGTTGCTCTGACTTGTGGGATCGCGTGGGCATAGAAATCGTGCATCATCGGCTACTGCTAGGTCCTGTGCGCACACGAGACTTCACCCACCGTGAACTCTCGCCTGCAAGCCTGCATGAAAGGACCCTGACGTGCATCCCCAATCAGTCGTAATAGCATACCTGGTTGCGCACATAGAACCTTTTCATGGAAGCCAGATCCTTAGAGCTCTAGTGATAGTTTACGTCTACAACCACAAGGCCCAAACTCCAGGACTCAAGGAGCTCCAAACCATGTCTGACAGAGTCACTTTCTTTTTGCTTTTCCGTATCCAAACATATTTGACCACTGGTCAGAGAGTTCTGTTTTTGTCTTGTAAAGGTTTTTTGGTTTTCCGACGAGTTTGGCACTTAGCCGTAAAATGCAGGAAGAAGACAATGAACACTGGAGTTCCAGGGGTTGTGGGCGTGCACTTTTTCTACCTTTTTTGTATCTCTTATTCGAGAATACGCACGCAACCAAGCCTAGCAAGAGTCAATCTACATATATATATATATGTGTATGTATGTATGTATGTATGTATGTATGTATGTATGTATGTATGTATGTATGTATGTATGTATGTATGTATGTATGTATGTATGTATGTATGTATGTATGTATGTATGTATGTATGTATGTATGTATGTATGTATGTATGTGTCTTTATTGTTTTTGGCTCGAACGCAACGTAAACGCAGAAAACGCATGTGCTGTTTAACTCGGTTTTCACGAGGTTTCGCGTGGTTGACATGCCGAAAACAGGTGACGTCAGTGTTTTCGGCGTGTCCACTTTGTGCAGTGGGTCTCACATGCCGAAACCTCGTATTTTCCGAGGTTTCCCAGCCATGCATGCCTTAGAACATTCTTGCGAGAGCTGTAGTAGCCATTGCATCCATGGCCGAACCATGATTACGTACGTGTAACCAAGCTGTGCGAGTGGCCAGAGCATCCGTGGCGGAACCATGATTCCCAAAACACCGTCCTGGCCCAAAAGCCTTCTACATTTTGGCGACCGGGGTTTAGGGCCTAAATCCTCGTACGAGAGTTTAGCGACGAGGGTTTAGGGCCTAAATCCTCGTACGAGGGTTTAGCGACGAGGGTTTGGGGCCTAAATCCTTGTACGAGGGTTTAGCGACGAGGGTTTGGGGCCTAAATCCTCGTACGAGGGTTTAGCGACGAGGGTTTAGGGCCTAAACCCTCGTACGAGGGTTTAGCGACGAGGGTTTGGGGCCTAAATCCTTGTACGAGGGTTTAGCGACGAGGGTTTGGGGCCTAAACCCTCGTACGAGGGTTTGCGCGACGAGGGTTTAGGGCCTAAACCTTCGTACGAGGGTTTGCGCGACGAGGGTTTAGGGCCTAAATCCTCGTACGAGGGTTTAGCGACGAGGGTTTGGGGCCTAAATCCTTGTACGAGGGTTTAGCGACGAGGGTTTAGGGCCTAAACCCTCGTACGAGGGTTTAGCGACGAGGGTTTGGGGCCTAAATCCTTGTACGAGGGTTTAGCGACGAGGGTTTGGGGCCTAAACCCTCGTACGAGGGTTTGCGCGACGAGGGTTTAGGGCCTAAACCCTCGTACGAGGGTTTAGCGACGAGGGTTTAGGGCCTAAACCCTCGTACGAGGGTTTAGCGACGAGGGTTTAGGGCCTAAATCCTCGCACGAGGGTTTAGCGACGAGGGTTTGGGGCCTAAATCCTTGTACGAGGGTTTAGCGACGAGGGTTTGGGGCCTAAACCCTCGTACGAGGGTTTGCGCGACGAGGGTTTAGGGCCTAAACCCTCGTACGAGGGTTTATCCTTGTACGAGGGTTTAGCGACGAGGGTTTAGGGCCTAAACCCTCGTACGAGGGTTTATCCTTGTACGAGGGTTTAGCGACGAGGGTTTAGGGCCTAAATCCTCGTACGAGGGTTTAGCGACGAGGGTTTAGGGCCTAAATCCTCGTACGAGGGTTTAGCGACGAGGGTTTAGGGCCTAAATCCTCGTACGAGAGTTTAGCGACGAGGGTTTAGGGCCTAAATCCTCGTACGAGGGATTAGCGACGAGGGTTTGGGGCCTAAATCTTTGTACGAGGGTTTAGCGACGAGGGTTTGGGGCCTAAACCCTCGTACGAGGGTTTCGCGACGAGGGTTTAGGGCCTAAACCCTCGTACGAGGGTTTAGCGACGAGGGTTTAGGGCCTAAACCCTCGTACGAGGATTTAGCGACGAGGGTTTAGGGCCTAAATCCTCGTAAGGGTTTAGCGACGAGGGTTTAGGGCCTAAATCCTCGTACGAGGATTTAGCGACGAGGGTTTAGGGCCTAAATCCTCGTACGAGGGTTTAGCGACGAGGGTTTAGGGCCTAAACCCTCGTACGAGGGTTTAGCGACGAGGGTTTGGGGCCTAAATCTTCGTACGAGGGTTTAGCGACGAAGGTTTAGGGCCTAAATCCTCGTACGAGAGTTTAGCGACGAGGGTTTAGGGCCTAAATCCTCGTACGAGGGTTTAGCGACGAGGGTTTAGGGCCTAAATCCTTGTACGAGGGTTTAGCGACGAGGGTTTGGGGCCTAAACCCTCGTACGAGGGTTTTGCGACGAGGGTTTAGGGCCTAAGCCCTCGTACGAGGGTTTAGCGACGAGGGTTTAGGGCCTAAATCCTCGTACGAGGGTTTAGCGACGAGGGTTTAGGGCCTAAACCCTCGTACGAGGGTTTAGCGACGAGGGTTTAGGGCCTAAATCCGCGTAAGGGTTTAGCGACGAGGGTTTAGGGCCTAAACCCTTGTACGAGGGTTTAGCCACGAGGGTTTAGGGCACGAGGGTTTAGGGCCTAAATCCTCGTACGAGGGTTTAGCGACGAGGGTTCAGGGCCTAAATCCTCGTACGAGGGTTTTAGCGACGAGGGTTTAGGGCCTAAACCCTCGTACGAGGGTTTAGCGACGAGGGTTTAGGACGAGGGTTTGGGGCCTAAATCCTCGTACGAGGGTTTAGCGACGAGGGTTTAACATGGAAAGCCTTGAGTCTGCAATCCCGACGACGATTTAAGGGTATACGACTTTCGGCTTTGCACTGGAGGGGTTGAGGCCCTAAACCCTCTAGCGCAAGGCCGAAAGTCGTATACCCTTGAATCCTAAACCCCAAAGCCTCACGTGCAAGCCCAAAAGTTGTATGATTACCCTTAAATCCTAAACCCCAAAGCCTCACGTGCAAGCCCAAAAGTCGTATACCCTTGAATCCTAAACCCGAAAGCCTCAAGTGCAAGCCCAGGTTTCGGCGTTTGGAGTCGAGGGTTTTGGGGGAAGGCCTGTAAAGCACCTCCAAAACCTGCGAAGTAAAAGTTCCCGTCGGCCACTTCGTACCATTATTTTCTGTACGCACGAAAAGCTAAGCACGGTTAAGAGCTGTTTATGAGCCGTACAATAACCATGTGCGTCCACCGGGTACATGCTGGCCCCGTTTTTTCTGTGTTTCGCAGCTCGGAAGGCTCTTGCGACGCGCGTTGTCGCTGCGTCGGAGCGATTTAGAGCGCGCCTCCGAAGGAATGCTCCAGGCCGCATCTGCGCATCATTTCACGCCGTTAAACGACGTTACAGACTGGCAGGTAGAGGAAAACAAGTCCGCCGATTCTGCTTGCGTTCTGTGCGCCGGAAGCGTCTAGAGTCTAAAGCGCGCTGTCCTTTTCTGATATTGCTGTATTCTGCACGTCTCATTTCAAGTGTCTCGCGTTTGCGGTTATGTGTTGCCTCAGTTGTTTCTGTATTGCCTGTGTCATTCAATTCTTCATCGCTGTTTTAGCTTTAGATGTGTTTGTGAATATCCGCAAGTCAACTCTCTACGAAACTAGCAAGATCTGGGTTTTGCTTATTGGGGGGGGGTTGTCGTTTTTGCTGTTCTTTGTTGTTATCGCGATTGCCACTCTCATGTCAATGCTTTTTGCTTTCATGCCCCGGAGCGTGCGGCGACGACTTGGTAGCCACACTCGAATGACCCCCCAAGTCACATGCAAGTCGCCTTGATGTCGATTGAAATGTCTTCAACCTCCCTGCTTTGCAGACAGGCTTCGAAATGTTTGCTCAAACATGACAGGTCACTCTCCACTTCAGCCTTGAACGATGGCGTTCGTCTTCGATATTCTTGGGAGGGGGTCGGTCCTTAAGGGGACATCGATTGCACCGAATCTGCGCCGATATCTTCGACTCGTTGTTGTGGACGCAGTTGGAATGTTAATGTGATCGATGTTCATCAATGGATAGTCCTTGGCAGCTTGAAACAGCAAACTTCTTCGAAGAAGCATGTGGAAAAGCTGCTCGCAGTCCGCCCCTCCGGTATTTTCAGCTGTCCAGGAAGCGTTTGTTGTCACCAAAGCTTTTAACACCAGCAGCGGTCGCTCCAACACCCCCTAACAATCATGGTATGGTGTGTCCAACTTATGAGCAATATCAAGCTCACATTCCAAGCGTGATCGTAAATTTGGAAAGTCTGCACTTTGTTTTT